AAAGATACACTGCCAGACAGCTGCCCCAGTGTGGCTTTTCTAGTTTTATTTTCAGATTGCAGACCTTTGAGTTTTATTCATGGTTTCCACACCCGAGTTCAGGACTTTCATTAGGATCATTGAATATGGGCCCTCTATTGCTGTTTCTTTGCATTGCAAGGGTAAAATCAGAAATATTTCCATAAAATAACGTATACAGCTGGATAAGCAGTATGTAGCATGTCTAATGTACATTGAGTTAGCATGTGTTTAATTGTAAGGATAGTATGGCTAAACTTCTGCATACTCTTTGGGGGAAATGAACTACTAAATATGTGTTCCCTATTCCTTTTCTCTGCTCTGCCTCTCCTTTTTCCAGTTCTTCGTACCTTACTCGGTCACAAAGCGAATATCTGCAGCCTTGATTTCCATCCTTTTGGAAGCTTTGTGGCATCTGGCTCTTTGGACACAAACATTAAGGTAAAGCTCAGCTTCCCCTTGAGATTACCCAATTTTACTTGCAGTATGAAGAGTGCCAGAATGTGTTTTGTGCCAAGCTGTTGGTAGAATGCTGTACATCATCATTCCCATGTGTGTGGGCAGGTGTATTTGTGAGTGCTTGTGAAATTTGTGTGTGTGTTTTCAGTGGTAGCTCATAAGTGTGACTCCTCTATTGTGGAATGTGGCTCCAAGTTAGGTGCTAGCCGAGACCTGGTGTCAGCAAGCGCAGATGTCCTGATTTGTGTGGATTGAGTCTGCTTCCTTAGGCTGGTATTTGGCTGTAGGAACTGAGCTTCTGTAATAAGAAATACCTTACAAAAGTGATTCTCACTTGGGGAATTAGGTTAGGAAATACCCCTGAAGCAAACAGGGATTTAACAGCCCCTCTGTTTTTATTCTGTGGTATTTATCAGCTGGGTGACAGAGAGAGCTCTTATTCTGATGGGTGTCTCAGGCTCCCTGTGTACTGCTCTAAGCTTGTCTCGTGTTTGCTTTTTTTTCGCTGTAGCTCTGGGATGTAAGAAGAAAAGGCTGTGTCTTCAGGTACAAGGTAAAAGGCTTCATTAGTTTTCAGGCAAAAAGGGGAGAAAGATTTCTGTCAAGGACTTGTGAACAAACTTAAAAGTGATTATGTACAATTAACTTCCTAGTTTTTCAGTATAAAAATAAGATCTGCACGATATGAGAAGTGGACTGGCAAACCTCTGCAGGCCTCTGAACTGTATGGGAATATGAAATGGATATCATAGGAGTTAGTGTACTGTAGTCTTGTGGGGATGGAGAGCATCCATGAGTGGTTTTTATACTGTGACTAATATTACCATGCAAGTCCCCACTGCACTGAGATGGTTCTATTCTTGGGGTCTTTTTCTACCCAAAGAACTTGCTGTATATTAAATTCACTTAGAAGTCAGCTTAATGGCACAGCACTTCTATCTGACCACCCATAAATCTGTGTAATTTAAAATGGATTCTTATTAATTAAGCCAAATCTGTATTTACCATGCTTAAACTGATGCCAGAAATCTCTAGATGAGAGAGATTACAAGCATTTAGTGTGGGTGGGTATAGCTCTTGAGTGCAGTGTTTAGTCTTCTGTGAGCTGTGGACTTTGTGAAACAGTGACTTGATTTTATATTATTATATTGTATAGGATCAAAAACCAAAAGCCAGAATTCCCTCTAAAAAAAAAAAAAAAAGGAAAGAAAATACTATTAGTTTTTCTTATTTCAGGGCCACACAGAAGCAGTTCGATGTCTCCGCTTTAGTCCTGATGGGAAATGGTTAGCCTCTGCTGCTGATGATCACACTGTAAAGGTAATTTATTGTGACACCCTCCTTATGTGCTTGTGGCACGTAGGAATGCTGGGATTGTCTCCTTACCAGGCATTACCAGCACTCCTTTATAAACACCTTTAGTTCATTAGGCAGCTGGCTGAGCCCTGTGGCTTTGCAGGAACCGGTGTGTTTATGAGGATCATGTCCAGTTGTCCACAACATCCAGAAAAGAGCTGCATGTGTTGAAATCCACTTGTCCAACAGACACGTTGGCACTATGCATGTGAATGTTCAGGTTTTTGATGGTGGTAGAGTTGTAATACCTTAACTTGGTTGTCTCAGGTAAATGTTACAGAATGAGTTGTCCTCATTGCTTCACCACACCGATTTCTGGCTCTGCTCACTTAATTCAGTAGGAGTGTGTTATCATACACTCTGCACATGAGGATGACTCTGAAAATTGCTGTCAGGACTGAGCAGAGCAAGAGAAGCAATTCAGAAAAGTGTTGACTGAAGCCGTGACTTCACTTGCTTCAGATGTGGTATGGGGGAATGTGGTCGAAGGACTGCTTTTTTCAGCTTCACATGAAATAAACTGATCGGTCATTTCACTCTGGATTTTTCAGTGGAGACTAGAGTGCAGGAAGAATGAATTGCAAAGGGATTCAGAGCTTTTGGATTTTTGTTTGTTCACTTTTGAGATACAGTCTGAGGACAGGTGGAACTACTGTATTTTATCCTAGTCTATATATAAACCAGAAACTTCTATGGGACAAATTAAATGGAAAATTTCAAAGAGAATGCCAAAAAAAAAGGAAAAAAAAATGCAGCCTTAAATGACTGGGACAACACTCCTTCCCTGATCATTGCTTGCTTTGACAAACTTGAGTCTGTTCTTGGAGGCAGAGAAGCATTACAAGGTTACCAGTCCAAGGAAATCTGAAGTGTATTGGAATTCTCTAACATTAAATCTTCTCAAGAGTCTCTCTGTTCTTTCCTTCCTCCAGCTGTGGGATCTGGCTGCTGGGAAGATAATGTTTGAGTTTACAGGACATACCGGCCCAGTAAATGTTGTTGAATTCCATCCCAATGAATACCTTTTGGCTTCTGGCAGTTTTGACAGGTACATAAGGGGAGGGAGAAAGAATGGAATTGTTTGTGCTGGTTCCCTTTCCCAAGGCTCTTCTTTTTAAGAACATAGAAAATAGGAATGTCACACAACTTAAACCTGCTGCTGCAAGAGCCTGACATCTGGCCAGCAGCACCTCACATCTGTGATGTGCAGAACATGGATATCTTGCCTTCTCATCCAAAATTGATGGCACCTTGTGCCACACTAGAAAACAAGGCGATAGCCTCAAGCATCTCGCTAATCCAGCTGACATCCTATCTGCACAGCAAGCAGTCCTGCTCAGCTAGCGAGGTGTCCTCTTAGCTCTGGGTCAGCTCTAAATACCTGTCTGTATATAGAGCCTCTAAGGTCCTGAGAACCTAAGATCCTCTGAGATCCCGAGGATCCTTTATGGATCTTAGCTAGACTAGCCTTCTGTGTAGGTTCGTTGTATGTGCGCAACAACAAAAGTCATTCTAGTTGTTAGCATATTATTTCAATACTGCACCCTACGACGTATTTCTAGAGGGATGAGTGGTGATTTTTTTTTTGTGCTGTTGTGTGTGCAGGACTGTTCGGTTCTGGGACTTGGAGAAGTTTCAGGTTGTGAGCTGTATTGAAGAAGAGGCTACTCCTGTCAGGTATATTAAATTCCTAGGCAGAGACTAAAGTGGGAATGAAGGGAGGATTTCCTGAAAGAGAGGCTTTACTGGGGAGAAGTTTGGGCTGCTGGAGATGTTGCACAGGTGAACACCAGATTGGTAGGTTCATGGTTAGAAACGGGGCTGGAGGTGTTCACTGAAGTCTGGGATACAGCCCTGGGGTCATTGTGGGACTGAGCAATGTTGGAAAGCTGTGCCTAATTCTCCACCTGCCTTCCTCCCAGGTGTCTGCTCTTCAACCCAGATGGCTGCTGCTTGTATAGTGGCTTCCAGGATTCACTGCGTGTGTATGGCTGGGAGCCAGAGCGCTGTTTTGATGTAGTCTTGGTGAACTGGGGAAAAGTTGCCGACTTATCTATCTGCAATAACCAGCTGGTAAGCCACTGCTCCTGAGGAGTAGGGGAGGCAGCTGCGAAACATGAGATAAAATCTTCCTGCCTCCTTGCAGGCCTTCTGACCTTTAAGCTTATGTCAAACTATAAGTGGCCAGGGCTTCAGTGTGCCCAGCAATTAGGCAGAGCTTCTGTGCTTTTGCTTTCAGCAGCCTCATGCTCCATTTCATCTCTCTTTGATTTCTGGTTGAAAGAACTGGGTCTTGGTTTGACCAATATTTAGAAACTATGCTTGGCAAAACTTTTATCATAGCCTTTCATAAAACACTGGCAGCTTCAAATTGAAAAAGCCAAGGGACTGAACTGAGAAATTCTCAAGCACTGTTGCTCAGGGTCATTCCATCATGCCTGCTCTCAAAAAGGCTCTCATGAAACCCTGCTCCCTGGTGAATTACCTTGATCTTTTGCCTCTGCAGATAGGAGTTTCCTTTGCGCAAAGCACAGTCTCCTCCTTCGTTGTGGATCTCAGCAGAGTCACAAAGTCGGGTTCCATTCCTCATGGGCTGATGAGGGATGATGAGCCTCTCGTGCCACCTACCCCCACAGGGTCCTCCCTTCGCCGCATCTATGACAGGCCCTCAACTAGCTGCAGCAAGCCCCAAAGGTAAGGGAATCTGCTGGCATGTTGAATTTCAAGATTTTAAGGACCTTAGTGCTCTCACTTTCTCTGATGGAGCCTGTGTGACTTGCCCTGACAGCATCTCTTTTTCCACAGCAGAGTGAAGCACAACTCGGAGAGCGAGAGGCGCAGTCCCAGCAGTGAAGATGACCGTGATGAGAAGGAATCAAAGGCTGAGATTCAGAACCCGGAGGATTACAAAGAGATCTTCCAGCCCAAGAACGCTATCTGTCAGTACCAGGGTTTATTGTACATCTGAGGGTGTTTGGATTAGAGCTGTAGGCGCCAAACTGTTTCAGTAGAAGTGAGCTTTGGCTTATTATAATAGAGTCTTTGCCTGCGACTGGGAGAGTTTAGAAAACTTTTATTTAGTATTCTGTGCTTGGACACTGAACCATAAATCATGTTGGTGAACTGCTGGAAGGTGGCACCTTTACTAGGATGCAGTGATGTCTGATCAAAGCCTGGCTCAGAATCCAGAGCTCCATTGTAAGCATGCTGCCTTCCTGTCCTGATGAGGAATGACTGCTGTGTTACAGGATCTTTATTAGCTTAGAATTTTGATATGTGTAACATCAGCAGCCTTCATTAAAGGAGGAAAGGCAAAATGTTTTGTTAAAGCAGAGATTATTGTTTAAGAGGTATAGTGCGATGCCTGTATCTCATTTTTATGTGAATGAGAAAAATGAAATGCCCTTTCTAAGGAATTAATAGACATTATTTTGATTTACTTATGTTAATCAATTTAACGGGGAGGGATTTGTTTCTAATATACCTTGTTGTGACAGTGTCTTTTGTTGTACTTCACCCCTCTACAGCACCAATGAACTACATGGGTCAGTTTTGTTCCTCCCATCCCTGAAGGCCTAAAGCTTTTGGCTAAACTGAACAATAGCATCAAGGTCCGAAGGAGATTGCCCTAATCTGTGGAGTTGTGGGAGATCTCCCAGCTCCAAGGTTGACTTATCACTAATCTGTAGTCTTGGATGCTTCTTTGTTTTTGTTTTTTTTTTTCTCTCTTTCTGTAGGTCGAACTCCTCCTCGAAACAATGAGCCCTTTCCTGCCCCTCTGGAGGATGGTGAGTATGAAAATGACCCTTTGGTGGGAATGGGGTTAATGGCCCTCAAAAGAGGGAGAGATGCATGTCTGCAGAAACTACTGCTTGTAGTCTAGCTGTACAGAACCTTTTCAACTTCTCTAAGGATCAATCAAGGCTTTCCCACTTCTTTCCATCTTGGCAGAGCCTGTAACTGCAAAGGAAGCAGTGAAGCCCAGCCAAGCTGTGGATGTCCAGACCCCGTTGCCAAAGCAAGAACTTGTACGTACTGTATGATCTGTTAATAGCTGTTCATGCTCTCCCTCTGAAAGGTATGTGAGTGCTGGAGATTAGAATTACCATTTCTAATCAAGCCGATTCCCTTACTGAAGAGCAGTAAAAGTGCAGCTTCAGTCTTTGTCCTGCCATGTGTCTTGCCTGAGCAGTAGAATTGAAGGCCAAGCCTCCAACAGACGATGGCTCTATTGCCTTTGTGCGCTTCTTGCACTTGTGTTTCTCCTTGCATCTCAAAGTTGGGGTGCTCTGAAAAGAACTAAGTGCCAGATATCTGCAAGTGCTTGAACTGAGGCTGTTTTGTAGCCAAAATCACAAGCAGCTGATGGGCCAGGATACATTATACCGTCTTCTTTAGAATTCTCTTTGCCTTTAGGCTGGCCATGGCCCATTTCCCTAATTTTAGGTGCCAGTAACAATGACAGTGGTTGGCACTTCTGCTGGAGCATCTCCATGTTCTTTGCAAATCATAATTGCATCTTGGTGTGTACTTGAGAGATAATTTATTACCTCTTAAACTATGCTAGCAAATTGGAGACTGCTTCTGTATTAGGACCCTGCTGTGAGAGGAAAGCGGGTCAGGAAAAAAGGACACCAGGCTAGGGCCAGATGGTTGCTGCTAAAGCTTTTATCTGAATTTCTCCTGCAGCCTGATCCAGTTCAGAGGCCACCAATTGCCTCCTCAACTCCCTTGCACAGAACAGAGCCATCAGTGATTCCTGCAGCCAGGAATGAGCCCATCGGCCTGAAGGTTTCTGACTTTCTACCAGTAAGTGTCTCTGGACAAAAGTTCCCAGATGGTGTCTGTGTTGGGTGGCATCAGACAGTGGTTTCTCTGAGGTGCAGAAGAGTGTCTTAGGTGCTTTCTACAGCCTGTAGTCCTCAGTACTGAGTGAGAACATGCTACCTCCTGCTCTCCCTCTGTTTATTTGGTGCTTCCTCTGCCAGTTTACTCTCCTGCCTCCGAAGCGCTTTAATGTGCGTTTTGTGGGGAATTAGCACCTCCAGGTTGCCAGAGCCAGCCCCCCTTGCAATTGACAGCAGGCTGATGCAAACCCAGCAGCATTGATCCATGCTCACAAAGAATGTGTTATCAAAGCAGAGACAAAGGTGCTGAACGATTCCACACGTTAGGCAGTGATTTGTTTAGAAAATTGGTGTCTGCCATTACATGTTTAACTATTTCAAGAGTCTTTCCCTCTTGCATCTCAGAGGCCTCTTGGCCTCACTCAGGAGGGTATTCCCTGTTGCAAAAAAGGGAGGACCAGAGCAACCTCATGATCCCAAACTCTAAATGTGAGCAGAGGAAGAGAGATTCCAGCATGATGTGGGTGGGAATCAAATTGAGAGTCTAATAAATTGTGCAAGATTTATGCTTTGTAATAAAATTTGTTGATTCTCAGATGAGCATTTCACATAAAAAACAGGGTTTGCATGAAAAAAATTCTTCATCAAAACATACTTGTTTTGAAAGCTTACTTTTAATTCACTTTTTTCAATTTTGAGAGTTTTTTGCAAAGCTTCAGACGTGTTTGTGATTGACACAGAAGAGGCAAAAGAGACGTAGCTGGAATTGGAACAAATTGAGTGTTTTCATTTCAAAATGTTCATAAAAACAATCTGCAAGGAAGTCAGTGTTTCCTGTCCCTCTGTACACAAAAATTGGCTCCCACCTAGGCCAGAGAAAGCTCTTACACTTCTGTGCCAACCTGCTCTGGTATTGCTGCTCCATTGGTGTCTGTACTTCCAGGCTGTGAAAAACCAAAGCCAGACTGAGCTCGTGGACGAGGAAGCCATGTCCCAGATCAGGAAAGGCCACGAGACCATGTGTGTGGTACTCACCAGCCGCCACAAGAATCTGGACACCGTGCGGGCTGTATGGAGCACCAGTGACATCAAGGCAAGGATGTGAAGATACTTGAGGGTTATGAGGGGAGCAGCTGAGCAGCTTTCTTGGCCTGTGTGGGGCCGATTCTGCCTCTCACATAAAACGCAGGGTCTCACAGCTTTTGTCCACAGGGGCGCACCGCAGAGTGACGCTTTGTCCCGCCTGCGCTTGAATTGTCATGAAGAAACATGGAGAAAACTTTCTCAAGCGAGAGTTATCTTTGCTTCCCTAGCCAACTCCATGTTTCCTCTACCTTGTTTTTGAAAAGCAGCACTTGATATTAATTGCATTAGTCTAGCCAGTTTGAGCTTTGCAATAGACAACTTCTTCTTCCCTCTTCTCTCTCAGAACTCTGTGGACTCTGCAGTGGCGATCAACGATCTGTCTGTTGTTGTGGACCTCTTGAATATTGTCAACCAAAAAGCGTGAGTCCTGTGTGGGAGCAGCCCCTGGGATACCTGAGAGCCCTCTGGCTGGGTGTTGGGAGTGCGGCATTGTACCTGCCTCGTGTCCCGTAGGCCATGGCAGCATGAAATGCATATGCTTGTGGTCAGAGCTTCAAGTCTGCAGTGCCAGTAACTGCTAGAGTCGTGTGGGGCCTTTTCTGTAGGCAAATGATGTCTTGCAAGGAAAATGGAAGTCTTGGGGCTTCATAAAGGGATTCTGCTGAGTCAGTAAGTTAGAACCTGCCACTTTCTATCACAAGGGGGAGTCGGTGAACTTGTGCGGTAAACTTGAGTGCTGCTGCCTGGACGTATTAGCCAGAAAGCATTGTTTGTGTCGACTCAGCCTTGTAAAGCCTCGGTGTCTGGTCTCAGAATGTCTCCTTTTCTTTTCAGGTCTCTCTGGAAGCTGGATTTGTGTACTATAGTCCTGCCGCAGATAGAGAAACTACTCCAAAGTAAATACGAAAGGTGAGGCCCCAAGAACATGATGTGCTTGGTGGACAAGGTGTGGATATTTGTAGGAGAGCTCCACTGGGTATTTTGTAGCTGAAAGAAAATCCTGAAAAAAAAATCACAGCAGATGCAGTATAATGCCAATATGACACCTGGAAAAGAGCAAATGGAGTTGCCAAATGTGTAGGGCAAAAGATATGGAAAGTATGCCAGGGCATGAAGAGCAGGATCTTGAGATTCAGTGTAGGTTTGAAGGCAGCTCTGGCAGCCAGGAAGGGTCAAATTGATGCAGAACAAGTGGGCTCTGTGTGCTGATGAGAATGAAACTGTTGACCTGGAGAGAGGGAATGAAGTCCTGCAACAGCCTGGGGGGCACTTGAAAGATTGCTTTGAACCTCATTGTCAGGTGGCAAAAAAATGCAGACTCTCTCTTAAGAAGGAATTTCTGCCCTTCCTTCCTAGCGGGAAAGAGGCTTTGTCTGAGTCCCCTCAGTGGGACATCTCTGCTCTTGAGCAGAAAGTCCCACTTAGCAGGGTGTACGCCAGGACCTTTCGAAAGGGCTCACTTGGTCGGTCTTGCCTCGTGTTGGTACTTGGCTGGTGCTCTCCTTACCAGGTTACAGGTGGTGGAGGGGGAGGTGTTTGAGTAGGTGGCTGGATGCAAGTGAGGGCTGTGTGCTGGGAGGGCAGGAATGAAACTCAAGCGGGACCTGGTTCTCTGTTTGTCTTTCAGTTACGTGCAGACTGGCTGCACCTCTCTGAAACTCATTCTCCAGAGATTCCTGCCACTGATCACAGATATCCTCGCTGCACCACCTTCTGTCGGAGTGGACATCACCAGAGAGGAAAGGTGAGGCACTTAATCACCTCCGCTTGCTCCCTTTTTGAACCAGCCTTTTTGGGTGAGCTTTGCTCTTCGCCATCGAGGCTTTAGTACTAGACTGGGCATGCCTTCCCTTTTGTCTGCACGCACCAAGCCTTTCTGCTGTGAGAAAAAGACCGAGGACTGCTTTTCCTCTCTGTCACTGTGTATTGAGTCATAACTAAACAAAGTGTGAGCATGGCAGGAGTACAACCACCATGGGGCTTCACCCTCTACTTCACAAGGCACATGAGTTGTCAGGTGGGCCCTGGGTTTCCAGTTCATTCCCAGGGATACCTCTGCTCTGAGAACTGGCCTTCCAAAAACCAGCACCACCTCCTTCCCTGGCCTTTATTGCAAAGGGGAAAAGAGGAGTGAAAGAGCCATTATGTGGATGCTGTTCTCCTGTGTCATCAGGACATGGGCTGAATACATGGCATTTCTGCAGAGCCATGCCCATATTTCACCCTCTTCCAGGGCATTTGCAAGCCTTGTGTTTTCTCTCCTGCTTGAGTTGCATCTTTGGCACTACAGGAACAAGCATATCTCTTCAGCAGCTGAGGATTCATGCTGTGTCTGCTGTCTGTTTTTTGTTGTTGTTTGGTTTTTGTTTGGTTTTTTTTTTTTTTTTAGGCTCCATAAATGTAAGCTGTGCTACAAGCAGCTGAAAAACATCAGCAACATTGTCAAGAACAAGTCTGGGCTCAGCGGCCGCCATGGTAGTGCCTTTCGGGAACTGCATCTCCTCATGGCTGTCCTGGAGTGATAGCCGCCACCTCCTCACATGCAAACACAGGTGGCCAAGCTCCCTTCTGCTCTTGGGCTGGCTGGATTTCACCTCTCTCCGTGTGTCCATCTTCCCCCCCCTCCCCCAGCACGGTAGGGAAGTGCAATCTCCCGGTGCCTTACGGGCTGGATGGAGGACATGAGTGGTGCGACGCCTGTGCTGGGTGAGGGGACCTGGCTGGCAGGGGGCCCCACAAAGCCCATGTAGGGAAGCAGCTTCATTTCGTCTCTCCATCTCAGCGTCAAGCTCTCGGCTGCTCTGTCTCTGTGTGCTGGCCTTTCCCTGACGGGAGGGCTCCGAGCCTGCTGTCGCCCCTTCCTTACACCCGTGTGTGCTGTTGGTTCTCGTCGCTCGGCTCTGTGGGCTGGGGCTGGCTGGCCCCGCTCTCTTTGCGCAGCTTCCCGCCCAACCCCACAAAAGCCTGCTGGGGGGTGGAGTGCCTGTTCCCTGGGGAAGGGACTTCTTCAACTGCCATGTGTGACCAGCCCCTTTGGCTTGCTTTGTCAAACGTGTGCTGGGACACTGTGCCACCCTGCCTGGGGTAGTCCCAAGGACCTGTGCAGAGAGGAGGCTGTCTCTTGGCTTCTCAAAAATACCTGCTGGCACCCTGGGCCACAGAAGATGAGTATCTTCAGACTGTTGCTGGGAACTGAGGTCTACCTGGATCTGTAAATATGTGACTGAAACGGGACTTGTCGTATGTGTTTGCCTTTGTGGGTAAGGATTTGGGAGGGTGGAGGAGGAGAGGGACATGGTCTAATGTCTTTCTACATCCGCTGGACTGCTCTTAGAGGGTTGGGGTTTTTTTTCCCCCCTAATAAATGTCTGTCAGAACCTTTCTGTCCCTCATTTTTCTTTCCAGTAGG